AATCGTGGGTGCCAAAACTAGCGGCAATTGATTAATTGTTTTAGTTTGTTTTAGGCCCCCACTTTCTTAACCCTCCCGCACTCTAAAAATTGCAGTCCATTTGATGTTGTTTGAGTAGTTAACTTTGCGTGTTAAGAACAGCGTTTGCTTTTTTGGACTTACAGCAAGAAACGTGTTTCTGGTTTCTGTTTCTGTTTCTATTTCAATGTGAAATATGCAAATCTTGCTAGCTTGAAGATTGAGTATCTAACAGATACGTATGCGCGTGTCGCTCAAAAACTCAATCGGACAGGTCTCAAACGAGCGTTTTTCTCTCTCCCTCTTGCTCTTTTCTGTCTGTCTCAAGCTCTCTGTTGGCTCAACTCTCGATATCGGCGACGTTGTGCTGAAATCGTTGAAATCTCGCCAGTTTCATTTGAGCCGCGCTAAAAACCGATACGCGACAACGGCTGACAAACACAAAAACAACAACAACAACGATAATAACAACAAATTGCAACAACGACTAGCAATTTTCGTGAATAATTATAAGGCGACGCTTTAATTGTTGTAAAAAGAAATTAGCAAGCAAGCCAGCGAGAAACGTGCAACGAATATTTTATGAAAAAAAAAAATATATATATATAGAAAAGCAAAGAAGAAGAAGAAAAAATAATTATAGTTCAGTTTTATAGTGTTAAAACAGAAGATAAATAGATACCGCAGCACTGAAAGATACAACGAACCGAACGGATACAAAGAGAACAACCAACACGACCTTGACAAAGTCGCAAAATGAGAAACACAAGAAAAATGCTATAAAGACTAGTCATCAAAAACAAAATAGCCGAAAAGCAACGAAACAACAGAAAAACTGTAAACTGTAAAAAAGTATTATTTAAAGTGTATTATTAATTATACGAAAAAAACGAAACCACAACGCCCCCAAAAAAAAAACACAAAAAACAATTACGAATTTATAGCCTTAAGCTTTAGTTTTTTTATTTTTATTTTTTGGTGGGCGTCTGTCTCAAATGTGCCATAAAAATAAAGATAACCAAGAAGCCAGATTTGCAATTAACCGAAACTAAAGCTAAAGTGAATATTTAGCAAGGAATGTGGTGTGGTGTGCCCTCGAGGACCATCGAAGAGTTTGAGCCATGTTCGCCCCCCGAAACTCATCGCCAGTTGCCGTTTATGGCAAGGAGGATGTGGCAGCCTACGAGGTAAAGTTCGTTGTTGTCGTCTAATTTATAGACGGAATTGGTATCTCGCTATCGGAATCGAAATCGTTTTCATTTCAACTTTCATTTGACTTAACTAGAAAGCAAGTTCTTACTAGCTTTTCACTGGTTGGCTTTTCTTACCCCCTCTCTCCTGCTTTTTGCATATTGGCCAGAAAGCAACATCCGTTTGGTTTCATGACTGAGATTTCTACCCACTTCTCTTTGGACTTGGCCAAAATGATTCACATTTCGCTACAAAAGTTTTTGTCTCCGCAGCTTGTAATGGACTTTTGTGGTTTTTAGCCCCGGCATAAATATTCTATTTGAGCCTGAAAGCAGCCGCGTTCTGTGGCCCCCAGGGTAATTATGGGCAATTAGCTAATGTCGGCACAGCTTCTAAAAGTTCGGATTGTAGGAATCTCAATAGAAAAATGCCAATCCTATTGTATTTTGAAGAAAAAATGTATCCCGCTTAATTTGATTTTGTTCTATCGAAAATTTCTTGGCTTGGCAGCTTCGATTTTGGCTTGTTTTCAAAGCGGTCATAAACAGTTTGCTCACGTAAGCGCCTTGTGGATACAATACATTTGTATCTGAAGGTATATATAGCTGATATAAGTATGTATATCACTTGCTACACTGGGAAAAAAGAGTGGGTTTAAAGGTTATCTAGTGAAGAGGAAGCAAAAGATACATTTTGGCAGAATATAAATGCCTTTTCTTTAAGGGAAAACTTATCTTAATTAGATTTTACATTAAAGTTCATCTTTATTTTCTTCTGTGTACTTATTTTTCTTAACATTGTTATGAGGGCCATGTTCGGTTGTCGAGTAAGCCGATGAAAGCCAATTGGAAATGCACGAAACGTGGTAGGGCAAAACGAAAATAACAAACATAACCAGAAATTCTATTTGGCCAGAAGAGAGCCACAGGCAGAAACAAAAAAAAAGATTGCAGCACAGATTTAGCATATGTATTTATGCCAAGAATTAATATTCATTTGATAATGTCATGCTCAAAAGTCGCTGACTTATCTGCCTTTCAATAATTCACCTCTTAATTATGCAAGAAATTCCTAATGAAAATCTTTTCCTGTTTGGCTATTTATTTATTGATTAAGCCAAAAGGCAATTAAGCCTGGCTTTTGTTAACCCTATGGCTGCTGGACTGTAACAATATTTGATGTTTTCCTCAGAGAGAGAGAGAGTCTTGATTGAATTTAATTAAATTATTTATGAAAATGTTCAATTATAAATTTTAGTTAAGTAATTGAGTGCAAAGTTAACCCAAATAACGTCTGGCTTTAAGCCAATTTCCTCGATTTGTAGTCAAGTTTGGTACTCACACTGAAAACGGCCTTAAATTTGCATACTTTTTGAGCTTTTTGCCTTTGTGGCCTTGGCCTGGCATGCCTTTAAGGTAAATATTTTCATTGCGTGATTCTTGGTTGACACCTGTCGTCCGCTGGAAATGCTTTAGCTTATTTCTGTGGCCTTTTTCGCTCGAATTGTGGGCAGAAATCCGAAATGCTTCAGACCACTAAGTATCAGGGTGTGGGTTGGTTATAGAATTTGGCCAACAATTGCAGCCAACAAGCTGCGTGCATTGAACTTGGCCAAAAAAACAAGCAGGCAGGCAGACAGGCAGCACTTCATTAACATTACTCCGGGCATTGGGCCAAAACGCCACTTGACCGAAAAGTGCTTCGCCTCGGGCTTCTTGGCCAATTTTTACTGACTGGTCATGGCCAAGATTTCGTCACTCGTTAAATCATAATTAATTATCATTTAACTGCCGCATCTGTCACACAAAATGCAAATTTGACTTTTAGTTCTTTTTACAGTTCAGCTGGGCATAAATTTCGCTACTCTACCAAATTTGTAACAAAAGAATTTCGCTTTGTTTGGTTTTATTTTTTATTTTTTTGGTGGGCTCTTTTGGTAGCTGCCAAATACAGCTTTGATGAATGGCGTGTGTTGACTTCCGTTCGGGCAAAAATGAAGTAAATGTGTAAAATAAATGGAATTTTAAATAACTTTTGGCCAGCGGCAGAGGGTTGTGGTGAGGGAAAATATGTTTGGTCCCTGGATTTAGTAGAATTTTTTCTATTTATAACCTAAATTCTTTAAACTCATGATTGGAAAATTCCAACAAATAAATCTGTTGAAAACTATATGAAAAAATCCCATTAACTTTATGCCTAATTATCGTTTGAAAACGAATTAAGCCCAGCAGTTGAAATCAAAGCTCACGGATTACGTTGCGCATACGCCCCGTAATTGCTTTGCTCTCTACATCACCCTCTCTCTCTCTCTCTCTTTGTATATTTCACTTAAATGAAATCGAAGCCAGTTTTTTGAAGGGGGAGTAGCTATGATTATAATTTTACAGTCATGGTTAGCATAGTTTGATTGTTGGCTTAGCTTTAGTCATGCTTAGAAAATTTGTTTACAATTTCACGGCATATCAGTGTCATTAAAAATGCAAATATGCGAGAGAGAGAAAGATACTTAAAAAATATAAACCGGTTCCATAGATCGGCCGACCTTATGCATTAAAATATAGATTTTAAAGGCTGCGTTGGTGGTGTGGGCCCCGATCTCTGTTCGTTCGGTTAAGTGAAACAAGCCAATAAAGTAAATACTCGTAGTAAACAAACGCTGGCGAGAGCTACTTTGTTTTGTTTCTCAGTCATAGTATCGAGATGATCTCAGCATTTTGACTGGAATTTACTTTGTTTCGGAATCGGAATCTGAATCTGAATGTTTTTCTGAATCTGAGTTTTTGCGACGCAGAAACTAAAATCAAACATCTTTTGGATGCTCTCTTCTGGCATGCCAAAGTTGACATAGTCGTCTTATGGCCCACTCGCCCACTGTTGAGTTCTGATTTACGTCTGTACCGCCATATATCAGTTCGATTCCAATGCGGTAGTAGTCAAGTCAGAGTACTTTGTTGACTTGCACTTCCTTTTCACTTTGCTATTTGTTATTTTTGCTATTTTTGTTATTTCTGTATTGGCCATAGCAGAGAGGAAAAAATCAACCTGTTACGAGCTATACGCCCCTTAATTGTTTTAGGTTTTTTTTTATGGCTTTTTTTAATAACTAATAAGCTGGTGGCTTGGGCAAGATCAAGGTGAAGCTCTGGTGAGGCGTAACAAGTCGGCTTTTAAATACAAAAAGCCAAGTTTGTGATGAGGTTTTAATGAATGAAATCATTTGGGTTCTTTGGTTAACAAATATGTTATTCTAAATTCCATTTTAAAATTGTATAATTATTATGTAAATGAAGTAAAATAAATAATTTTGAATTTTTTAAATGAATTTATTTTTGGTTATTTTTACATTTTTAATTAGTTTCTATTAATATTCGACAAAACATAATTATTATTCATTTTTTGTTATTAAACTTTGCCTCCCATTTTCGCCCCTTTTGCGGAAATTCATGTATAAAACTTGTTAATAATAAATTAATAAAAAAAAATGGGTAAAAAAACACTGGAAAATCATGTTAACATGCTGAGGCAATTTCTGTTGTTTATGTTTATGTAAATCGTATAAGGCCGGGCTCGTATGTAAACAGCATGATAGATGTGCGAATTGTGTGCTTTAACAATTCACACAGCAAGTTATCTCTTCGTCAGGTTTTCAGTTTTTATTTTCAGCAAATATTTCACAAAAGTAGTGAGTGACCTTGCCAAAAGCAGAGAAAAAAAAACTTAGCAAATAACCTGGAACATGGAGAGATGTGATGTAATATCTAATGTTGTGATGTTCTCTTTTTTCATTACAGATAAAACTCAAAAAGGTCTTGGGCCTGACTGTGTGCAGCAATGCCGCCTTGGATGTGTCCCCAGTCAGCGGCCTGCTGGCCTATCCAGCTGGGTAAGTTTTTGTATATCTGAAAAAAAAGGAATATTACATTTCCAGCTGCGTTGTGGAAAAGGAAACCATCACAACCTACAACTCATTTCCTTTTTGGTTCAGAAAAAAAAATAGAATTCAATTTGGATAAATTTCATGCTTAAAGTTTGCTGCCAACTCAAAAAAAAAAAGAAGAAACCAAATAAAAAATTGCAATGAAAATGGTTGATTTAATTGTTGATATTTTGGTTTAAAAGGAAATCAAAGTTAATTCGGAAGGTTAATTTATTTAATTTATTTGATCCTCTGAAATCTGCATTTAAATCCCGCTGCCGCTGTCGCTGCCTGTAAACATTTCAATTATAGTAAATTAAGCCGAGGAAACTCTACTAATTATGTGCATTAACAAAAAGGGCATATTTACGCTTCCATTGCGATGCAAAAGTTTTTTCCTTGGCTCACACATGTATGCATAGAACCATTTGCAAGCATGAATAAATAGGAAAAGCTGAGGGAGATTTTTATGTTCAGACCTAAAGAGAGATTTAAATGCTCTTTAGATAATGTAAATTAAGTCTCTGTTTTATTCTTAAATTATTTTATAATATTTAACAAGGTTTTCTGTTTAGTTTTTGGGCTATAAGATACTTTCTCCATCATTTTATAGCATGAAAAACCAAACTTACCACATAGTTTAGCATATACTCTTCAGCAGAGTATAGCCCTAAGTGAAAGATGTGGGCGTGATGCGCTCATTAACCGAGCAACAGTAGCTACAACAGAAATAAAACCAAAGAGCGCAGCTTAATAATAAGCCAGGCGGGCAGGCAGTTAGCTTCTGGCATAAGAGGGTTAAACGGAGGCAGGAAAAGGTTGAAGGTGGCAGGGTGGAAGGACAAAAAAAAAAGAGAACGGAACCCAGCCGAGGCAGGACCCACATCCTTGGGCATTTTTAATGTGTAAACCAACTTTTAACCCAGTCTGACTTGGTCAAGGACATCTTTAAGTGATGGTCGGGGCCAGCAGATAAATACCATTGACTAGAAGGACTTTTAAACATTGTAAGAATGGTGGCCAAAAAAGGCTAATATGGGAAATATTTGTTATAACAATTATTAGTTTTTTCTTTAAAAAAGGGAAGATTTGCTTGTTATTTTTTCTCATTTTCAAGTTTAAATAAGTAAAATGTTTTATTTTATTGCTGATTTAAAATGTTATATAAACTATAAAGTGTTGCCAGGTGACGAGCGCACGTATAAGCTAAATTTGTGAAAAAATTAAGCTAGAACAAGATAAAATTTAAAAAAAAATATGCTAAAAAACAAGCTACACCCAAATGTGGGTGGCAGTAGTCATTGGGGCCTATTTTTATGATTAAGTCCTTAAATTTTCATTGAAAGGGAGGGCTGCTTCCTGCTCCTGTGTCTTGCAACATTTTGCAGGAAAACTTATTTTCTGAGATTGTGCAATTGAGCCAATTCTAGCACGTGCTTCTTTGTTGCCACTTGATGCCTTGTTTCAAAGATTTTTGCTGAAATTGTTGACTTACAATAGGAGCAATAAGCTCTTGTATCATCTCCTGTCAGTTTGCGTAACCACGCCTTGAACTCACTACTTTGGACTTTCGGCATTTTACCACTCTCTTTATTAAAGTTCACAACTCCAAGTGATTGCTTGCAACACTTTAGCCAACATATCGATCTTCGATGGCACTATCGATTAGAAATATATTCACGATCATATGAAACGCACATAACCATCGGCAAAAAAAGAAAAAGCTCCGATATTTTCATGCCATAAAGCATATTTTTCTTACGAAGCAACGCGTTAATAAGCTAGAATATGCTAGATGACTTTTAAAATAAGCTATATTTCAAGCTATAAGCTAGATCGGGAGTTTTCAAGCTTTTCCAGTTCAAAATATGCTAGAACTAGCTTAAATTAAGCTAAACTGGCAACACTGAAACTATGTTATAGTCATCTTTGAAGTTTCTATCAAAACCAGTTATGGATGAGTTATACTTATGATTAAATTATTTTAAAATAAAACGCTATATTTTACTTAGCTTACTAATTAGTTTGGCATTTAATCACCAACTATCAGTAAATAAACAAAATACTTCTTGCCAGCAGCTGCTACTAATGTCACGAATTAATCATACATTTTATTTATTATTAAATTGTTTAAAAATAAACTTTGCTTAGGCTTAATCTTTCAACAACAAAAGCAGTCTTAGAAAGTTGTTTTTTTTAAACTACTAAATTAATAACTTAACTTAAATCATCTCCCTTTCAGCTGCACCGTGGTGCTGTTCAACGCGAAGCGCCAGACACAGGCCTATTTGGTCAATACCTCCCGCAAAGCATTCACTTCCGTGGCATTTTCGCGATGTGGTCGCTATGTGGCCACCGGCGAATGTGGCATCAATCCGGCCATCAAAGTTTGGGAGCTGGAAACTCCAAACGGAAGTCTGGAGCACTGCAGCGGCGGCAGTGTTGTTGCCGAGTTTGTGGACCATAAATACGCCGTCACCTGTGTGGTGAGTTCACTGATATATTTTTTTTTTTTAACTTCCTTTATTAATTGGTATTTATTTTTAATCCAACAGGCCTTTTCGCCCACTGGCAAGTACCTGGTTTCGGTGGGCTCCCAGCACGACATGATTGTCAATGTGTTCGATTGGCGGGCCAATCTCAAGATGGCCTCGAATAAAATCAGCTCCAAGGTAGCTGCAGTGTGTTTCGCCGAGGATGGCAGCTATTTTGTCACAGTGGGCAATCGACATGTCAAATACTGGTATCTGGAGGGAGGAAGAAAGGTGAGTTCTGATAATTATAATGATGACAAAAAGTAAGAAAAAGCAGTAGAAACATTCTTACATGCTTAAGGTTAATGAAAACGTTCATGAAACATTCCTAAAAAAATCTTAAAACTGTATAAATTTTAGATAAATCGTAATGGTATACGATAGTAGAGAAATGTAATGATATGCACTCTGCTGCTTTGAATATTTTATAAACCACTTTATGCTGAAGGTCAAGAGCTAATGATTTATGTCCTTTTGCAGTACAAGGATCCCATACCCCTGATGGGACGCAGCGCCATTCTGGGTGATTTGCGGGACAACGACTTCTGTGCGGTGGCATGTGGCAAGGGTATATGTGCGGAGAGCACGTATGCTATTACGCGACAAGGACATTTGGTGGAGTTCAGTTCCCGTCGTCTCTTGGACAAGTGGGTGCAGTGCCGCACCACCAATGCCAATTGTATCTGCGTGAATGAGAGATTCATCCTTGTGGGCTGTGCGGAGTCCATCATTCGGATCTTTAATGCGGCCACGTTGGAGTACGTGACCACGCTGCCTAGAACTCACTATTTGGGTGTGGATGTGGCCCAGGGCATTCAGATCAATCACATTATGTCGGTGCCACAGCAGGCAAAGTTCCCAGACTGCATTGCCATGGTTTTCGATGAACAGCGCTGCAAGGTAGTATCTATGAAATAAAATTTATAACTTTCCAACTTATATTTATTTGATTCCTTCCAGGTAAGCTGCGTTTACAACGATCACTCGTTATATATCTGGGATTTGCGCGACATTTCACGCGTGGGAAAGTCACACTCGTTCCTTTACCACTCCACCTGCATCTGGGGCGTGGAGACAGTGCCATACAATGTCGAGCGGGAACCATCACAAACTCTGCCGGAGGAGTGCTTTGTCACCTGCTCATCGGACGACACCATCCGCGTTTGGGGATTGGATGGTTGCACTAACAACGATATCTACCGAAGAAATATCTACTCAAAGGAACTGCTAAAGATTGTCTATAGCGATGACGAACTGCAGTTTATTAAGGATCCGGGATCTTCGCTTTTTGATAAAGCAGGATCATCATCTTACGATGGCAGGAATGGTGTGCGTTGCATCAAAATCAGTCCAGAACTCCAGCACTTGGCCAGTGGCGATCGGTGCGGCAATATACGTGTCTATAATCTGGTCAATCTGCGCCTGCTCACCACCATTGAAGCCCATGAATCAGAGGTGCTGTGTTTGGAATATTCTAATGAGCGGATCGAACGAAAAGTTACTAGCCAGTGCCAGTAGAGATCGGCTAATCCATGTTTTCGATGTGGCCCAGAATTATCTGTTGCTGCAGACACTGGACGATCACAGCTCCTCGATCACCTCCATAAAGTTTGTCGGTGCGGGACTCAACTTCCAGATGATCAGTTGCGGAGCCGATAAATCTATTATGTTTAGAAGTTTTCAGGTGAGTTTTCTAGATCTTTCTATAAGTTGTTTAAACGACTAAACCTTCATTTTTATTTTAGGGTAACATCTTTATGAGGGGTACCAACACCTCTGGCAAAACAACGCTGTACGATATGGAAGTAGACTCGAATTCCAAGCACATCTTGACAGCCTGCCAGGACCGTAATGTGCGGGTTTATGGAACACAGAATGCCAAGCAAACGAAAACCTTTAAGGGTTCCCATTCAGATGAGGGAAGTCTGATTAAGCTAAGCCTCGATCCCAGTGGTATCTATGTAGCCACATCGTGTACTGATAAAACGCTGGCTGTATATGATTACTACTCCAGTGAGTGCATGGCGAGGATGTATGGTCATAGCGAGCTGGTAACTGGCCTGAAGTTCACCAACGATTGCAGGCACTTAATCTCGGCCAGCGGTGATGGTTGTATTTTTATCTGGCAAGTGCCTCACGATATGATAGTTACCATGCAGGCGAGGATGTCACAGCAACGTCTCAGATCTGGTCATGCTCCATTACCACGTCCCTTGTCTTCGATTTCGCCACCGGATGGTATAGTCCTGGAATCACCAACCAGTGAAATAGAGCAACCACAATTGCAGCCCAAGTTTGGTGTGGCCGAGAGATTCTCGGATGTGGGTCAACTGCCGCAGTGGGCTATGCGAAAAGCAGCAGCGGATTCGGATAGTGGGGCCTTGTCCATACCCACGCCCAGCGGTGGATCCACTAATGTACCTGCCATGCATGCCGCTTCATCGATGGGTAATCTAAGCTCATCGCCGAGTCAACAGATGCCTGGATTTACAACCCGAGCTAGGGGAAGATGGGCCCAAAGGAGCACTCAATTGGAAACCGCCGATGACCTGCGTTCTAACTCTGAAAGTCCTTTGGGAACTGTTTCGTCTGTAGGTGGTCACAGTGGTGTTAATGTCCAGACCTCTGATTACAATAGCGCCTCTTCCAAGGACATTACCTACAATCAAACCTACTTGAGCGAGGACTCTTCAATCGATTCTGGAATGGAGACGCGAAGGGGCGAACTCAAGTTCATTGGCAGCAGCAACAATGGAACGGTGGTCACAGTGTCCTCCGTTTCATCGATGGCTGTATCTGCCTCCAATGGTGCCATGTCAACCGGCTCTGGAGCTGGACAACAGCGTCTCCAGTTGCCGGATAAGCGGTTAAAGCCGGGTCTACGATTTGATACTCACAGCCATGATCATGATGGAGATGTGGAGGATATCTCGGATGGAGAGAGAACTAGTTCCGATCATGGAATGTTCTACAACAACCTGGCGCCCAGCACGCCAACGTTAGTATAGGGAAAATTTATCAACGTATAAAATAAAATCTATTAATGCGTACTTCTTGCAGAGATTTCAAGGTGACGGCCATGAACGAGGATGAGCTGCGCAAATCGGTGCGCCGTCAGAAGTTCGAAAAATCCGGCCTTCAGCTTACCCCATCGGCGCTTAGCGGAAATGGAAGTTCGCATACGGCAAGCACAGGAACCGGAACTGGAACCTCTGACACCGAAGATGAAGGCTCAACGCCCAGTGCCGAAAATGCAGAGCGTTCTCTGGCCTCCACACTGGGCGGTAGCTCGGAAAATTTGCCACAAAGCAGCGGCAATAGTTTCTTGCATGCCGCTTTGCCAGAAGGACCGGGTGCAACCACGCCCATGGAAAGGGGAGGCAGCAGTAAGATATTTGTTTTTGATAGTACTATCCTTAAAGATTAAAATGTTTTTTTTCCTGTCACCAGGTCGCCGCAGTATCAGCGCCAAGCACAATACGGAAAATGGGAAAAGCGTGGCGGCACCACCCACAATCACCAAATCGTATACGAGCACCAAAAAGGAGGAGCTGCTGCAGGTCATCAACAAGGTCAAGCAGCAGCTGGAGAATGTAAGTGTTTTCCTTGGAGGTCAGGAATGACCTTCTATTTATAGAGAATTTCAGTATTTAAGTATGCCCTTCAGTGCAGAAGTTGCTGTTTTACGGGTTTTCCATTTTCTTTCCACTTTTATTTGCCCATTTAATTTGTGTTTCTCTTTTGTTGTTCTTCTGTATTTTTATATGTGTCCCATTATTTGTTTTTGGTGTCTGGTGTCTGTCCTTCAACCTCCAACCTCCCACCCCAAAAACACATGCACCCAAAAAATATAAAATTATATTCCTGCCCGATTTTGTGTGTTTAGGGTACGCGTAAAAATGGCAACACAAGGTTGAATGCTATAGCTGAGGTGAGCCGATTTAAGTTGGATTCTAAAGACTGTTTTTGCTTCCTCTAATGATGCTTCAGATTTTTATAAATATATATATTTGTATATATATTCCATAATCCTTAACAACTAACGGGAGAATGATTTCACGCACTGCATTTTATTATGGAAAAACGACACAATTTGCTTACAAAATAACATAATAGGACAGATATTTAAATACAAATATTAATATTTTACACAGATAAATTAAACCAAACATCTTACCTATCTTAATTAAAAACATTAAAATAAAAAGAAAAAAATTATTTTTGCATCGGCCGGGAATCGAACCCGGGCCGCCCGCGTGGCAGGCGAGCATTCTACCACTGAACCACCGATGCTCCATGTATTAACCCAAACCAACTTCTTTTAACATCCAGCTGTTTCTAAAAATAGCCCAAAACTAGCGACTAAGCAAGAAACTTGCTTTGTCAGATAAGCCGAGTGGGTTGAAGATGTGCTATGCCCCTCTCACTCTTTCACTTCATATCACACCGCTCAAGCAATTTGAGGAACCAGAAAACCACTCACACCACTAACTCAATCCGCAAACTTCACTCAAATAACAGATGTTAAGCTAACTTTAATTTTTTTATTTTTGTTTAATTAAAAATCATTTACTCTGGTGAAAAGCTGTTTATTTACCCATTTCCACTGTTCCCCTTTCTTTTACTTACTAATAAGTAATGTTTAATATAATAATATTTTCCCCTATTAATAATTTATATTTCTGACCCACAGGTCGGCCATAGACCCCTTCGGGGAAGCCATAGCATATCGGACCTAAGTCTGGCTGCCAATTTGGATGGCTCGAGGAATGCGGGCGGAGGACCAGGACGTTATACAAAGCCAGGTAAGTGATTGGGAAATAGGGAACCCCGAGTTAAACCTAATTAAATCCCCTCCAAGTTGGAAAGTAGGCTAATATAACCAAAAAACTCTCTCTCCCGTTGTTTGCTCTCTCTCTCTCTCTCTGTCTATATCTTTTTAATATTGCTCTCCTTTTTGCGATCTCTGTGGTAAAAATAATGTAAAACCAATATTAAACTTAAATACTATGCCCCTTAAACGATATTTTGACTAACCCCATTAGTTGCTTCCCATGACACTTCGCAGTCTATTAGTTCCCCAATCAGAACAACTGCTGCTTCTCCGATTAACCAGCAGCCACATCAACAGCCAGTTCATCAGCAATATCAAATAGCAAAGGAGCAACAGCATCATCAGACCCAGCCGCAACATCAGCCATACGCTCCTCCTGCTTCCCAGCAATTCTTCAATTGCGCTGCCCCAAAGTCCAAGTTGCAACAGAACTTCCAGACGATGCGACAGGTTCAGCAGCATTATCCTCCGTACCCGCATCACGTGGGTGTGCATCAGATACATCCACCTCCTGGGGTACCATTTGGTGGTTCTGCAGCAGGATCTGCAATGCGTTCCCATAACCATCAGCAACATCATCAACAGCAGCAGCAGCAGCAGCAACAACAACAGAGAGCCAAAAGAAATCCAGCTGGGAATAATAGACGTACTCCTAGTATCTTAAAACACTACAAGTCCTGTCCAGTCTCTCCAGTCCACGAAGAGGTTGAGTGGTCTGCTGAAGGAAACGAAAGAGGAGCTCTACTTGGTGAACCCAAAAGGCACTCCGTTTATGCAGATGATGCCAGAACTATTTTGGATATGATCCATGCTGATACCGAGAAGATGATTGATGAGATAACACGGAAATACGGAGATCTGGATGAGCCCAGTATTCCAGCTTCTTATTCGATGCCAGCGAATTTGAGAAACTTGGGTGGTTTGGGTTCCACTGGTGACTCCACACCAACAGGCAGAACTACGCAGTATTATGTTTACAGAGAATTCTATCAATGCGAGAGGAAGGTATCCCTTTCGGATATCTTGCAACCTGAACAATTTGCGGCCACTCAGAGGAGATTAGATGAGGCTAGATTCCTGGAGACGCAACGCCATTCAAGTGCCAGTTTCTTCCTTACCGGACAACAAAGTCAGGAGTCACTGTCTCTGCTTTCCGATGGCGATGGTCCCGGAAGCTATTGCAACAGTTTGGAGAGCGTTCTATCGGACGAAAGTGATTGCCAGAGTGCTCCTCTGGATTACCCTCAAGCTCAGGTGGCTGTTCTTCAACAGCGTCATGCTGGCATCCGTAATTTTATCATCCACGGCCCAGTGTCTAAGTCCTACGGGAATAGCCCGAATGCCTATGGCAGCTTCGATTACTATATGCGACAACAGCATTCTACGACAACGGATAGCTTCGATGTCACAGGCTACAATCTGCAGCCATTGAAACCACTGCCCAGTTCGAAGACATATCCCAGAATTGCCCAGGTTCAGGCCTCGGAAAATATACCCACACTACGATCAAAGAACAAGCAATATAACTCAGGTGTTAACAAGTCTTTAAGCACGGATTTCGCTCAACAGCGACTGCAAAGGAACTCGAATCCCATGCAATCAGGTGACAATCTCTTTGTGAGGAAACCATTGAAACCCAAGCCACCAGTACCGGCAAAACCCCAGAATCTTATAAGCACTTTGAGCCACATGGAGAAACAGCAAAAGCAGCATAAGTCTCAGTCCAGAACTGCCAGTGTAGTCCAGCAATTTGAGCATAATTTGCAAAAATTCGAAAAGGAAAAGCAAAGGGAAAGGGATCAGCAAAGGAGGCCAGCGATGAGGAGTTCAGTGAGTTCAGGAGCTCTAGCTGGAGGCTCTGCAACCCAGAGTTGTCTGAAGAAAGTCTCTCGTTTCGACACCAGCGAAAGCAGTCGAAGAGCCACCAGTGTTAGGCAAAGAAATAGACCAAAAATCTCAGTACGCTTCAATACAGTCTCCCAGATTAAGTATACGCCCAGTGCCAAAAGGGAAAGACAGGCCAGAGAAGAAGAACCGCCAGAAATGGAAGTGGGCAGCCTGCCTAGCGACTATGGTGAACGGAGTTTCGAAATGTATTTCGCTGAGAACGGAAATGCTCCGGAAAATTTGGAAAATATGCAGAGCCTTAAGCTTTACACAAAACCGCAACTTCAAGCGGTTGTCGATGAGATCCAGCAAGAGCGGGAAAAGTACAGGAAAAACTTAGATAATGCAGGGAAAATCAGTGGAAAAAGCGGTTGTGGAAAGGGAAAGGGTGGAGGCGGCTCCACCAGCCATCAGTGCCAGAATATAGCCAAAAAGATTGATATCATCGAGAAGTTAATTGCCATGGAGGAGAACAAAATGGAGCAAATACGCTTGGCCACCGAATCGCGTTTGAGGCCCTTTAATTGCAATGCCAAGGAAAAGGGTTATGTGAAAAGTTTGACCATGAACTTTGACATGCTGGCCAGGGGAGAGGAGCTAACAGAAGATGAGGAGCTGGCCTCCAAAGATGCCTCAGATCTTTGTGCCTATGCCAGGAATATCCGAAGAAATTGCAGTTTGCCAGATGTCCTGGAGAGCACCGATATTACTGGCATCTACAATAGCCAGGGTGTCGAATTGGCCAAAGAAGTGATAGCCGATGATGAGGAAGAAAGTCCAGAAAATCCTGACATTACCGCTAATAACGCTGATCATGGACAAGTCATTGGACAGACTGTTGTTTTGAGGATGGATCCAGGTTTGATCCCCATTTCCGCCTTGGTTGTTGTGCCTCTTGAGTTTTCCGCCACCTTCATTTGTGCACCCAAAGTTTATTAATCGTTTTTTAGTTCCCCTTTTTGACCACCACCCACCATATATCTCGATATCCTAGCACTATAAATATAATTCTATAACCGCATGATGACCCAAACCGAAACTAATCTCTGACCCACTTTTCAGGCAATCCCAAAACGCTCAATCCCATGCCCATCGAGGAATCCTCCATACGCCGAGCCTGTTCGTTGAGCGATCTCCACATGGGCAACTTTGGCAAGCGTAAGCAACCTCGATATTAGTTAATTTATAATGTTATAAAGACATCTAACGGTTTTATTTTGTGTTTCTTTTACAGCTGGCAAGTCCAATGGCACACCACAGAAGCCGCAGGTCCAGCACCGAAATGGAAATGTCTCGCGATCGGCTAGCAAGAGGAACAGTTTGCAGGGCAAAACTGGTTTGGGTGCCTCGAGTAACTCCATGAATGTCCTCAATCAGGGGGTGAGTATACTGATTACTTAAGGATCATAAACAAACTTATTTTATAAAATAAAATCTTGACATTTAGAGCGACTCGGAACCAGAGGACAGCAATAGATTACGCAGTGCCAGCAATGGACAAGGGCGCAGCAACGGACCCATTGGTATATAGCTTTCAGATTTGTCTTTAATTTAGGAAATATAAAGATCTCTTACTTAACTTGCAGCTGCGAGTCGCCAGTACAGCAACAAGATCAACAATGTCAACAATAATCGTAGAAAGACGCCAAACTTTAGCAGTGGTGAGTAAATTTTAAAATATTTTTATTAAGTCCGAACTAATAAAGTATTTTCACCCAATAGCCACACCCATGCAGGATGACTCCAGCTCCGAGGAGACGCCCAATAGCGCTGTAAACAACAAACCCATTGTGCCACCAAGACCAAGGAACTTGGCCTTTGATCACAAGAGCAAACTAATGATCAACAATACGGGCAGTCCTGGAGTTAATGCCAAACAGAGAAGCGGAGTGACTTCCACAGAGGATTTCGAGGGCGCAGATCGTAAGAGTTATATTGGAATAAATATATTGAATGTGATTTTAATTTTTATATTTTCTTCCAGCTGAAGCCCAAGTACACAATGTGATTAATAAACTTTATACAACCACACAGGCAGCTATGCAGCTGCATGCGAATCTAAAGAATTCGCTGCTGCTGAAGGAACTGGAGAATGCCCTGATCATGTCCAGAAATATGTTAAGCAGCATCACCAATCGGTATGATTGATTTTGAGAATAATACAGCATAATAATACAGATTAACTAACATTCCAATTTTTATTTCAGACAAGCGGATAAAAGCAACAACGGAGTCGGAGTGAGCGGGGGATTGGGAGTAGGTGGTTTAAACCACGATCAGCTGAGCGGAGCTGACAACGGAGACTATCTAATGATGGTCAACAACTGTGCCGATCTTTTGAGCAATTTACGCACGAAGCACAAACCCGATGACTGTGAGAATAACTCCTAGTGTGTAGAGCTTAGGCTAGACTAAATGACTAAACGAAGTGCAGAGGAACTGCGTGACGGACTAACCAATACCTATTTATTTAACTGAACACACACACACACACAGGCGAATGGCAAACAAATCAAGCAACAAACCAATCAACCAACCACTAATTTGTAATTAACAACCATTCACCTTTGATAGAAATTTATGTTTGTTAATGTTAGATCAAGTTGCTTAGCCGCTAAGTTTTCTGTTTCGTTTTTTGTGCGCGTGAGCATTTCTTTTAACAAATAATTTATATATATCTATGTATGTCAACCGATTGCGTTTAGCTTGAATTCAATTCTGTAAATGTTAAGTTTAATAAGCCGTTTTTTGTACTTGTTAAGTGTTATTTGAGTTTAAGGCAATAATGATGCGGAATTTTTTGGATTGTCGAAGTGGTCGAGATAGCAAGTTGTTACAAAGTGCGCTTAGCCCATGCCTTCTATTCTGTTTGATTTATATTCCCAACCCTTTTTTTTTTTTTTTTATATTTGCGAATGTTTGTGAATCAGTCAAGAAAATGTAAAAGACAAAAACTACAAGAAATGTGTGTCAAATTTGAATGTTCCGAAATTTCAATTTATATCCATATAATACTATGTATGCCTACTCACATTATACTTATATCTCTAGAAGGGCCACAAATGATTATTGGATTATGTGAAGAATCAAAGTTATTTGAGATATTTGATCAGAGCTAAGATGCAAATCGATTTCCAAAACACACACTTTGTTCTGTAATTATGCTGTATTAGTTAATTATTCGATTGTATTTACAACAATTATAACACTACCTATAAATATACATATTATACTTAGATATGAACTTGAATTAGTCCTAAAATTTACTTTACAATAATTTACAACTAAACGAAATGTATTAAAATTAACTTCAAATAGGAGAAACCAACACTTACGATTAATTATGCTATCTAAACTCAGAACTAAACTAAAAACAAAACAAACAAAAAAACAACAACTAATTCAAAGCGAAAATAATACATAATGCATAATTTTTAAAAACATTAAAACTAAGTTTTTTTCTTTACTTCCGTTTGCTGTTAACAACAAGAAATCGTCAAGCCATTCTGTTAACAACTAAAACCCGAGACCCCATGGACTTAAACTTACTTTTCAATCAGGCAGCTAAGATTTTGGGGTCTCAGAATTCTAATACCCAAGAGATCTGTCCATATGCTACTGTCATATGGTACAAGGATTCCGAAAAACATTCAGAACCAAATAATATCCTCATATAAGTAATTGATTAACAAAACTAACAGGCAGGAATTGTGTATTGTGTAACATTTAAGAAATTGATTGAAAGCCGAATAATAAAACATAATTCAACGTTTTACCGGACAAAAGTAAAGTTTCGAGGAGTCAATTACAGAGCGTTTAAAATTACCTTGGCAATCAGGGTTTATTAAAGCCATCAACGAGATGACCGCCCAGCAGGTGATGTAATCGCCCGACATGTGGGATACAACACCACCCAAAAAATAATACTTTGGGCTTTAAGAGTGAACCACTTATAAAGACAAATGTAAAATAAAAAAAGGTTTTCCTTTTAGGAATAAAAAGCACATGTCTTCATAAAGTTTTCTGCTTTTGTCAAGATTTTTATATTTTACCCTAGAACTCCCGACATTCAACCAAGGTCCACCCTAAAGTTAGACCCACCCATCAGTCGACTTCACAATGTGAGCAGGCAATGGTTGTTCAATTCGGCGCTGACCCACGGCTAAGGGATGGCCATTGATACTTTTGGCAGCCGTCGGGCTTCAATTAACGTGTGTCAATATTGAGCTAGGCCAACAACCGGCAGTTCCTGTGAACTTTGGGGGTGGTGGTGATGGTGGAGATGATGGAGAAGAAAAGTTCCTTTCCCACTCGATAACCCAATAAAACTGAATGGCCATGGTTCGATGATATGGACTCACCCCGTAAGCTAACACTCTCCCTCCTTTTACCGGCCCAGTCTCGTTTGGTCTCTTTCTGGCATTTATGCTTTATGCATAATTTATGGCAGCGTCCAATCATAAAGCGGGTGAAAAAAGTTGAGCATGAAAATGTTCCCAATAAATGCCAGACACGCCCTTGCCCTGAGCCCCCCCTCCCTTTTCGAGGTCCCATTATCACCTGGATGGGTATAGGAAGAAAAAAAAACAAAAATTAAAAGAGCAAAAGGGAAGAGTTTTAAAACATATTTAATACGCAAAGAAAGAAAATATTAAATCAAAAATATAAGTACATCCTCGGATAGTATCCCTAGTAGGACACATCACAGTCGGTGGAAGTGTAGAAAAATGTCGATCCGCAAGCGCTGCTACCATAGGCCCGGACATGATTGTATCTCCGTGCCACAAGGATCATATAAAACAGGATCAAGATTAGGAATGCAAAACACGCTGCCAGAAGGTAACCTGACCGACATTTGGTTTGAGATTTGATGGTTCCTGATCGCATACTTCGGACATGATCAAGCCTCATTTTGTGGCCACAATCACAGCAACGCACCTTGTTCAGAATTTGCACCATTTCCTGTTGACGCATCATCCTGTATTTGCCAAAAGTTTGGCATAGGCCATTGAGCAGCTCCTGTACTTCGCACATTTTCTTTATATTTTCGAAATTAGATTGTTAATATCTCACTGAGAGTTGACTATAGAAAATACAAGCTAAATTATACTCTGGCATAAGACTCAGAGATCAAAGAATCGAAAGCCAATGAATACAACTTTTAGGGCAAATGAAATGAATGAAGTGTAGTGACGTCCTCTATGGGTCAACACATTTATTATGTATGATTTAAAGTATTTTGATATGCCAAATGCATTTAGATAGTGTCTGTTTATATGGTTAAAATAATGATAAGCTTCCTCCTCCGTGATGATATATGACTATAACCGACTGTGGCAGCCAAGATGTATTCCTAAACATACTAATCTCGAATGATATTGCTCCCCAAACATGGCATTAGTCATATATACCAGTGTTTGAACAAGAAGCTAGGCCACACATGGTAAAAACCAATTTAATTTCTGTTTTTAATATAAATTTTAATCTGTCTTGGATTCAGATTATTGGTATGTATACTCTTATAATGTGAATCCTAGTGATAAATAACCTTTATGCTTAAGAATCGGCAAACATAATGGGCATACCACTCATCTATCTAGTGTTCCTAAAGAATCACAGCCATATTTATTGTTATCTTTTGGATGTCAATCAACTTTTTAGATCTTAGCTTTAGCCATCTTTAAGATCTTTAACTGATGCAAAAATATTTGAAATTCTGAGTGATCGAAACCAAAATGAAATCTCTTTTTACAAACGTTTTCAATGTTGTTTTTAATATCAAATTTTCTTCCATAATTTTCACAATTTAATAAATTTTTATTTGACTTTAATTTTGAGACAGAAACCATTATTCATCTATAAGACCACAAAGTTGTAGAATGAACCAAAATAGGTATATGATGTCATGGAATAAGGACATAGCCCCTAAAATAAAATCTGATTCATCGTATTGATTTTTGTGAATTCTTCCGCCTACAATCATTTGAAGGTCAACCACTATATAAATGGAATAGGCAATAACGCCGAAGGCTAAATAAACAATTTTAAAAGTTCTAAAAAATATTGCTAAAATGCCCAAAACCACCAAAGTTATGCTTATTATAAAAATCAATACGAAGCAGGAGGTGAAATCGCAGGGAGCGAACCATGCAAAGAGGCATAGGAATACGACTAGGCCAGCGCATATTCCGAAGGCCATTATAACCTGCAATAAGAAAGACGATTTAATAGTATTATATATCATTAATAACTTGCTTACTAAACGGGGATGATAACGAACAGCAAGGCAGATAACCAAAATGGCATGGCAAAACACGTAAATGGCCAACAATACCCATTTAAGAACTGGCACTCGGAAGAGATTCCGACAGCAACACATCATATAATGCATTATCATTATGATAAGGATAGCGGGCAAACTCAAAAACCAGAACCTTTGAAAAAAGTGCCTTAAAGGCTTTAGCATTACACAAGTCGTCATTGCCAGTGTTGTTATCGCCAAATTGACCTGCATTAGGGCCATAGATTAAAGAGGCTATAATATGTATAGGTATCAGCTCAGCACACTCACGGCCACTATGAGAAGGACCTTGGTAACAAATCTCCGACGGACGGCAGGATCTGCAAACGTGCTGTCATCCTCAAACCTCCTGTTCCTTGGCCTGCAGCACGCCATTTTATCGAGTCCTCAAAAGCGCGGTTATGAAAGTGGAATTATGTGTAGGTTTATTTTTGATCAATTTGATTGAAAATTCTCTGAAACATAGTTTATATTTGTCATCTTTGTTTAAGCTGGCTATTTTCCATCAAGAGGACATACTAATTCTCATCTATAAGCCTCGAAAGTCCCTTAAAAGATTGAGCTTGTCCAATATTTCCCTGAACTTCTCAAAATCCTTTTCCTTTAGAATTTCTAGACTTTCCACCATCATCTTTTCTAGCCAAAAAAACCGTCCGAAGCAGACCAAACTAACGTAGGGACTAATTAATGAAATGTAGGCGCACCCCAGCCAGCAGCTTTTCACGTAATGAGCGACGCCTCGCTGGCCGCCAATGTGAAAATGCGGCATGTAAAATCTCGGAATCTGGCGGCGCATTCGTGACTCTTCAGGCAGCAAAAACCTGCGGGGCGTTTTTGTGCTCAGGTGTGAATAAGCGTGCAAGAAGTTGACATAAAGCCAGGCAAACGGGAACGGACAATGGCTGGAGCAATGGTATTGCCGAGTTGATAAGAGACGGGGGGAGGCAGGATGGCATGGACGACAGGAGAAGCACTGCATTGGCAGTCGCTGAACCGTACTAATTGAGCCGCGTTACGTCGACTCGAATGCATTTCAATGTGTTGCCAAGCATCGCGTGTCGATCCCATAACATATTGTCATCATTTTCCGGCCTCTCGCCCCTCTCTGGGAAGTCGAGCAACTGCTGCCTGAAGAAGTAACTTACAGAACCCGAAGCCATGCAGATATGTATAACCACCACCCACCTGGACTGTGATCCCAGTCAGCTGCTTTTCTTTGTCCAAAAAAAAAACAAGATCGAAGGGTCAAAAATAAGCTGAGATTGTCTGGCAAAGCTCAGGTGTATTCGTTGACCCATGAAAATTGAAATAAAGGAAGGATAGGAATATCCTGAAGAAGTTTTATATCCTAAACTTACCCCTGTTTTTCCCAGTGTATCTGTCACATCCCCTCCCCCTTAGGCTTACAAACTATAAGTACTCATATAGAATTTTGTAATGCTCGCATCTTAAGCGCCCCATGGATTCATCTCGTTTTTTTTTTCTAATGGCAGCCAGCCATTGACATGGGACACTTTCGATGTGGAGGAGAGACAGAGGAGCAGGAGATCATGTCATAGTTCAGAGAGTCGACAATTAACGTGGGTTAAGTGTTGTTTTGTTCTCCTTTTCTTAGCCAGCATATATTGTCAGCGTTTTGGGCGTAAAGAAGATACACTTATATGGCCATTAAGAGGTGCCTAGAGAGGGTGCCTCGTAATTGAAAGGAAAATGCAGCTTTAGCTTTTTAAGAAATTGTAATCACAGCAGATTGCGTTGCTCTAAACTCAGCTGAGCCTATATATATATAGAGGGGCACATACAAAGATGCCAGGATACAAAGCTGATAGGTCACAGCACCAGGGCCAGACAATTCCTCGCACTTGGTGGCGTAATCATATCCGGAAGAGATTATGCTGCCACTGCCTCCTCTGGTGCATCCATCTCGTGTCCTTATTGTTCTGCCTCATTTCGGGTGATAAGCGCAGTCGTTGTCTACAGTACATTTTTCCACCTCCCACCCTTCTGATGTCGGACAATGGAATTGGATTATAATTTTTTTTTTTATTGTGCCGAACGAGCAGCCTGAGTACTTAGATTTTTCCCATACTTTTCCCCCTGTTGCGTGCTTGAGTTGTTGTGGCACAATCGAAGGGGCGTGCCACGGGTGCCCCCCAGACCCATGATAAGAGTTATTGATATGCTAAAAACAAAGGACGAAAATATTATGCTTATTTCAGGGGGGGGGTTGTACAAGAAATTATGGCGCCTGCGGAAATTGTTTATGGCGGGTAAACAATAATTTTTTTCTTTTTTGGAGAGCTGCAAATATGGCGGAAGTTATTAACTAAATTTTCAAGGATGGGGAATATAGTTATTTTAAGGAGGACAAAAACTGCACGACTATGTATTGTTTTTCTAAGGGATATTATTAATATTTTTTATGAGAATAAACACAAGAAATCTTCACATCTAAGATACACATTCAAACCTGTTTAATATGCAATTTGTCTTCAAGTTAATTAATTACACTGCTAAAATGTTCTACATTTCTATAACGCTACCTTTCTATCAAATATATTGCTGAACTAAGAAATAGCTTGTAGATTTATCAATACCTTTCTTGACACCCCCACAGATTATCACCTATCCCCCTCATTAACAGCTTCCTTTAAAAGGAAATCAAAACTTTCCATGAATCAATAGCCATTAATTAGCTTAATTAATGCCATCTGGCTGGATGACCATATCGGATTGTGCCCGTACTGCCAAGGTGTCATGCATAAGCGAGTCGAGAAGTGGTAAAAGTGCTGAATTATCCTGGCTAGATCTGCATGAAGTGGTGCGACCGACCAACCGAGTTCAATTAGCCAAATAAGTCAGTTTTGTGTCAGTGCGATTGAGTGTGGGTGGGTGGGTAAAAGAGGTGGAGGAAAACATCGGATAGAGGGGATTGGTAGATGGATACTCGAATGGTCGACTGGGCGTGCATAAGGCAAACATCAAAAGGAATCGGTTGGAGGAGAGCGGCCAAACATGACAACAGCTCAAGGACCATTCACATTCATTTCACAATTGGGGGTTGGCCTTCGACGAGGATGATAGGAATCTCATGGAATATCGTGGAATCGAGGAATCGGGTTCAAAAGAATGCCGCGAGGCGGTGTCAAAAGTCATCATTGAAAATTGGGCACAACCAGAAAGAAGCATTTCACTACTGAATTTGTCAACTGAATGGCCCTGCCATGCTATGCTATCAGTGGGCGGTGTGCTTGAGCATATGCTGAGGGCCCACTGTACGTCAGTCGTCTTTGATTATTTGCATAAAAAAGCAACGCATCGCATCGCTCGATTTCGCTTTTCGTTCCCATTTTGTATATTCGATTCGTTTTGAATTATTCATATGATATATGGCCAAAGGAAAAAAAGGGGAAAAATGTCAACTCAAGTGGACATCACATGCGTCATCTCTGATGGGGGTATTAAAGCTATACAAAAGTCATCCGATGTCACCGAATCAAAGTCAGCAGGATTACAGAAGTCGATCTAAGTGAATATAAATATTTGAACAGGATTCAAAGATATTTATTTGTTTTTCAATAATATTTAACAATTTGAAGTTGAAGTTTTACCTTTTGAGAAGATAAAATTAAGCATTTGTAGTGCCCCAAAACGAAGTTTGATTAGTAAACCTAAAAAATACTTATAATCTAACATATATTATACATTTTTAACCGTTTCAGCACAAATATGGTCTTGATTTATCAATATTCATAATCAACTGCATAATCTGTCCTTTCCTATTAGTGAGCCCCAAAATGTAGGCAACACTATTTTTGCTTACCCTTCTTAAGTAAGCTTTTTGCCTTATAAGGCCGCTTCTTTTGCATTTCCTTAAGCAGACGGTTCCATAACCATTTTAACTCTGAGATACGTTGCCTTTTCTCGAGCCACAGATCAAAGTGCTATGCAAATGATTGAGGCGTGTGCCTGGTCCTGTACCACCTGCTGAGTTTTCACCAAGTGGGCGGTGGAAATGGGAAAATGGAGGCTGGTCGCCACTAATTAAGTTGCAAATGTCATGCGGCAGACGTGGCGACAGTTTAGAGCCCATTAAACGCGACTCTTGGGCACGAGTAATGCAGCAATAATTGTTTTCATTTCGCATCCCATTTGCATTTTTTAAGAATCGCAGGAGACAAACTCAATGACAGCCCACACCGTTGCTCAGTTATTTGCATATATGTTGGAGGGGTTATCGGGATTTTTAAACTGAACAGAGTTTTCCCTTAATTTTCCATCATTTTTCCTTTAGTCAATAAAAACATTTTTGCCATTTAATAATTGAAGAATTGATTTATTGCTTAAACATTATCAATAATATCACTTAAGACCTAAACAAATTCAATGCATTCGATCGATCATCGTTAAAATGTTTTCTCAATTTTTTTTATACTTTTGCGTTGGATTACACAGACACTTAGGGATATACATACAGTACAGATATCTAGTACAACTCTAAGATACATTCGCATTTATGTATTTTGGTTGACAGATCCCAGAAAAAGCTCTAACACAATGCCAAAAACATCTTTTCCTATATCGAAACTCTGCTCTAGATGATCTATGTAGCTGATCTACATAGAACTCAGAGACTTATAAATTCGTGACTAACTAGATAAATCTTTTAACTACATCTATACATTGAGAGAGTGGCTTAAATATAGATTTTCCAAGGGACATCTTAGGGCTATGCTATATACAAAATGTTCTGTTGGATAAATGTGTTGAGCGGTTTGGGGTCATCATCATCATCTTCTGAGTGGGGTATTGCACAAGTTGAAACCATTGTTGGTGGCTGTTGAGGTTCTTCTGGGTGTTGTGGATAGAGGTGGGTAAATCTTTCTGCCTTAGAAGAGTCCATTCAATGCCCGGACAGCACTGCCCAGGGCCGTACATCCGAGTTCCGGGGACGGCGATTCGCCTGGATCCTGCCCGGAATTCGAACTGCTAGCAGCGGCTGCCGCTGCCACAAACTGCAGTCAGTCGATCAACAGATCGCTCCTTGAAGTGGCCATAGATGATATGGTCGTTGTGGTGGTCGTCACCGTGGAGCTGGTCGTCGAGGTCGACCCCGTGGTGGAGCTATTCAAGCTATCAGCATAGTATCGCTGTCAAAACACCTTGGCTATGAAGGTCTCCGAGAGTCTCTGTTGCTGTTGCTGATGATGTTGCGGATTTTGCTGATGTTGCTGCTGCGGCTGGAGTTGCAGGAAGGCGGAGCTACTGGGATAATCATGTGGTGGAGCAACTCCCAGTTGGTGATGAAAACTACCAGCTGGATACTGTGCGGCGGAGGATCTGGGCCAGGCTGGATTGCTTGTCTCTCCGCTGGAAAGTGGCGGAGTGGTCACATTTATCGGTGGCGACATACTTCCCGAACTCGAGTCCGGTGTAAGTTGTCCTGAAGCCTGACCATAGCCAGAAGAAAGTGGTTCCCTACGGGTGTATTCCCTTCTCCTGTCATAAGTTGGTGGCATATCCAAATCATCTAAATCACCGCCAATCTCATGCAGCTTCCTCATATGCTTCTTCAGATCAAAGTTCCGGCAGAATCCCTTGGCACAAACCCTACAGGTATAGGGTTTCTTGTCGTTGTGCGTGTGCATGTGGAAGGTGAGGTTGTACACCTGGTGGAAGGCCTTGTTGCAGATGCTACATTTGTAGGCCTTTTCGCCACTGTGGGTCAGCTTGTGATTCTTGTAGTTGCCCTTCTGGTGGAATCCCTTGCCGCAGTACTCGCAAACGAAGGGCTTGTAGCCGGCATGGATGCGCGAATGGGTGTTGAGAGTGGAGGAGCGATTGAAGGCCTTGCCGCAAGTCTGACACTTATGTGGCTTTTCGGATGTATGGATGATCTTGTGCCGGCAGAGAGTCGAAGCCTGACGGAATCCCTTGCCGCAGACTTTGCATACAAAAGGTCTGGCTCCAGTGTGTACGGGCATGTGGCGGGTGAGGTTGTAGTGGGCATTGAACACTTTGCCACATTCCAGGCAAGAGAAGGTCTTGGGCTTGCCACCACTGGCGGATCCTGGACTGCTGTCCTCTATGGATCCTTGAGGCGACGGAGAGCGAGATCGTGCTCCAGCAGTAGAAGTAGCAGTCGAAGCTGGTGGAGGTGTCACCTCACCCTGATCCTGCGGCGATCGTTTTCTCTTCAGATTAGCTTGCAATCCCGAACTTTGAGCTGTCCTCTGAGCCACTGGTGACTTTTCCAAACTCTGTTGAAGATTGGGCACTGCCTGGGACTGAGCCACCGCAGCTGCAGCAGCTGCTGCGGCCAAAGGATGACCAAGATTCCGTCTCAGTGACTGAGAATGATGCAAACTGGCATTTAGAGAAGCGGTGAAACTGCTCAGATGAGCAGCACTGGCCAGTGATTGTTGTTGGGCCGTCAATGCCGCATATTGAGCAGCGGCAGCGGCGCACATCAGCTGATTGGGTGCATAGTACAGCAGTGGATACTGGGATAGCAACTCCTGGTGGCGGGAGCTCACAAACTGCTGGACAGCAGCGGTGCTTGAAGGTGAAGCCACCGATGATGAGGCACCAATGCAGGGACCCGGCACATACTTCTTGAAAGCCGAGTCATAATTCACTGGCGTTGGTGAATGATCCAAACTGATCACCTCAATGGGACTGCAGGAACGCTCGGAATCGGCATCGATTTCTGGGTCCTCATCCTCGTCGTCATCGTTGGTAATAAATGAAATAGGAGCCGGTTGTGGTGGTGGCACTTGGCTGGGCCTGTGATCGGGTTCCATGATCTTGGCTATCGAGAATTTCAAGGGACACGCCCGCTTGGCGCTCTGCTCATCCTGCTGACTCTGCTGGCCAGGATTCTGTTCGGAGGCGGCGCTCTCCATGACGGGACTCTTCGACGGCGGCATCATTGCGACTTCTCCCGCTGGACTACACGGTTGCATGCCACGCGGACTCTGCAAAAAACGAACAAAGAACCAAATTGAGTATGCAAACTAAGCAACGGGTTATCAATTAATCGAAGGCATACGCCTCCTTTGTTTATGTTTAAGTGCTATAAATGCGATCCCTCACAGCTGGGGGAAATGTAATAGAGAAACTAACCCTAAGGAAACTTAAAAATTTATATAATTTTCCCATAGAACTTAATACAATGTTAAATTTGTTATCTAAAAGTAAGAAACTGCAGTTCTTTGGTTTAAAACTATGAAAATATAAACGAAAACTTTTCTATTAAATGATTGTTTTTTATTAAGACTTAACCCTATTGTTGTGACCGCAGTTGTATGTATTATTTAACGCCTGATCAGTCAAGTGCGATTAATGCGTTGGCAATTCCGGGAGTACAAACAAACGCCAGCGGAGGGCGTGCTCCCAGCGGCAGGACATTTCCGCAGGATAATTCATGGCCAGCCAGCGGGTTGCAATTAAACCCAAACCGCAATGCGTTTAATAATATTTCCCAATAGATTTTTGCATATCCGCAGAGCATTTGCATTTAACCCGTGCTTGGCCCTGACTCACGCTCCACTTAACCCAAACAAAGGCCTCAATCCTTTCGTCAGCATATTGCCATCAATCATAACACAGATTTGGCAATATATGCGAATATATTTTTTGGCGCGGGTCTTGGCTTTATTTGCGAATCATTAAATCGCTTACACTTGACTGGAGGTGTAAGACCGTCTCCGTCTCCAGCTCCATCTTCCCCATGTGCCATCAAGTGTGGCTAATGTGCGACATCCGGTGCGATACAACCGACTTCCTTGCCGTTTTTAATTAACTTGATTTGACGCCTGAATAAGTTCAGCTCCAGTTCCAAATCTGTATATGGGTAACTCTCGCCCATCTTGTAGTTCCCCTCCCAAAGTGCTGTTTAATCTTATTAAGAAAAGAGAAGGCGGTAACCATTTCACACGCTGACCCGGAGGCACAACCACGGTCAGCCCTCTCAATCGAAAGTTTCCCGGCTGCCTAACTATATGAACGAGTAGTTCACGTTTTAAGCATCCAAATTATGTTGGTGTTCTAGTGGCCACTTCAGAGTTTGCTCTTATGAGAGCCGCTCTTGAAGAGTGTGTAGTGAATGAAGCTTATTAACAATGTGTGTGGAGCTAAATATTTAATAAATTTGGTAAACTTTGTTTTGTGTTAAGTAAGTATTTGAGTTCTGGAAATTTTGATTTAATTTGGAAAATATGGCAGAAGGTTTATAGCTTTTGAAATATGTTAAAAACTAACACTTGAAGCTTGTTGCTCATTAAGAAGTTCTGATTTGATTTAGAGGTTGTGAAATAGTTGTAAAAACATATTAATTAATTAGTTAAAAATGAAGAGAAGCTTTAAAAACTTTTGAGGAATTTATTAAATAACAGAAATGAACTGTATATAGACGAAATTTATTCCAAATATTACAAGAATAAAGTTTTATTTGCTATGATTGCTTAATAACCAACACCTTTAACCAAATTGTGCTAAAGTTTCATAAACTAAGATCAGCTAATTAGTTTTTCTTTGCTAACTCTCCCATAGCCACCTATGGCCTAGCAAGACTAAACCCCTTTTCCCGTCGGAGTTTCAACACCCCTAATAAAATATATAAAAATAAATGTTATATAACAAAAATACGTACAAAGTAAACCATATTTAGGTGCTGCCTAGGTGGATATCCAATTCCTTTGGCAGGCAGCCAATCTCCACTTGTTAGAACAAAATCACAACTTTTAGCACACACAAATACAACTATAAGTACGTTCTTTTTGTTGTTATTTCTCTTGAATAAAGTTCACTTGTTTCGTAAAAAACGGAATGTTTTTCAAATGCAAATCGAGGGAGGCGAGCGACAGGACGCGTTCAGCACAGGATCAGCGACCGAAGCGGAATGAAGGCAAATAGCGAACGGTGCGGGCCTTAAGAAATATGAAAAGGACATACGCAGAGGTCTGGGGTGAATCCCGGTGAAACAACCCCTGAGAATCCTGTATGCCACGTCCATTTGCTAGAGTGAGAAAGGTAGAATACCGTTCTGTACAAAAGAGAGGGATAGATATCCCAAATGTGCGATAGAACGAGATAGATTGATGTGAACCGATAGGCAAAAGGAGAACTTCATCATCACGTTCAGATTGGATGATATGTATCCCGACGTCGCCGTCGACAGCGACTGCGACTGCATTATGAATGAAAAGACAAAATGTCGAATTGGAATATTACGGTGAAAAAAGAGAGAGAGGCAGTGAGAAGAGACCGCCCCTAAAATATTTATATAGAGAGATAGAGCTCAAGAGCCCAGGCAAGATGATAAATAGAGGAGTGATGCGATGAAGGTGGTTTAACGAAAGAGAGCGCTATATAGATATATATATATAGGGAACCAGAGTGCTAGAAAGAGAGCGATGGAGGGCCACCTTTGGCCGTATTCCGTTCACACTTGATTTGGATGAGGCGCAGACACCAAAAAATGGCAGCCACCGGTCTCGTGGATCCCTCTCGAGTTGACTTTTTCACTAGTCCACCCCCCCTTTTCGAGGCAGCCTCCTCTTTCCGCTCCTCCGGCATGCCCCTGCCTTTTGTTGGGCGTTTCAATTGTCGTTTTGGCATTTCGTTTTATCAGCGTCTTTGTTTGCTCACCTTTAGCCCGCCAGCGGGCAAGGATTCTCTGATTCTTCAACTCTCTCTACCCCTGAACCCGTAATCTCTGGAATATCGTTGCTATATACTCGTACAGAGAAAATAATTCAGACGTAATCCAATTAGTAATCTTTACTGTACTCAGGAATGATAGTCAAAGATTTATAGTCTTTATTTTATAATAAATTAGTTCGTATTGATCTAATACTTATACGTTTTAAGGTTTATTCGAAATTTAGTAAATTATTTTTTAAATATATCAGAGGGTTGTCTTATTTAAAATATTATATAACCACAGAATCTATAAAACTCCTTAAGATTTCCTTCCGTGCATCTATTCTTACCCATTTAATTTGAAACACCCCCCAACTTAGCTTAACCAGCACTAGTCAAATATAATCTTATATTCATTTTGATGATATCTCCGTGGCGGGGCTTTCTTGACTTTGTTTGCTCTGGGAGTCCTTGTCATCCTGTTCCGCCAACTTCTTGTGTCCCCAACTCCTTTCTTTATATTCAGGACTATGGTTGTGTGGACCTTTCCTTGGGCATTGCAGGGCACATGGCTGCTTTTCACTGGAGTTGAGCAGTTGCAGCTGCAAAATTGCACAAAAGCACAACTCTTTAGGGGCTTTGAATGGGAGCGTAGGGAGGATTTAAGGGATCCTTAAAGGACTATGGCCGCCATTTCCATTGCATTTTCAGGTAAAGTTGCCTATTTTGTGGCTCTTGTGTGGGGAAATCGATATGCAAATAGCTATTCTTTGTTGATTAGATATTCAAAGTGATTATATTTGGTTATGTTAGGGATAGTAAGAGTTACAAATGTAATGTACATTTGTACATTTCCAATTTCAACAAAAGTTTATGTAGCATTAAAAAATATTTGTTTTTATAACTTATTCTTCTTTAAAAATAATTAGAGTTATAGTAAAAGGCTAAAAAAAGCTCTTAAAAAAACAAATTTCAACTCCAAGATCCCAATACTAGTGATTAAACCAACCAACTTGTCAGCCACAAAACCCTAACACAGATACTATAATTCCCCAAAAAAAAACGGCAAAAAAAGCGGGTGATTAACTAAAAGCAAAATGAACGGTGCATGTAGAAATGTGCAATCTGCATTTAGTTGAATAAATAAATGCTATGAAAAAGACAGCAACAACGAGAAAATAGCAGCACAAACAACAACAAACTGGACATTCAACAAACAAAACGACAACGGCCTATGCAGCTTTTATACACTGATAAAAAAATGTGTAGGAATATGGAATATAAACATAATTTTGGTACTTTAAACTTATTTACTTATATTTAACATTTTTATTTTCAATTTTTAATATATAAATTACAACATTAAGTTGAATTTTAAATACTTTTTCGAAAGTCTAAATTTACATCAACTTTCTCTCTCTGTATTCCTGATTTCATCCTCTCTTTTTATCCTTATCTCTTTCGTACTATCTCTGCTCCTTTTTCACCTCTGTTCATTTCCATTCAAAGGCCATGCAAGCATGACCAAACACACACACACTCAAATCAAGGGGCCAGCGGCGAAAGGAGGAGTGTATATCCTTGATAAGAATGAGGGGTGGGTTAAGGGGGAACGCCAGAGTGGACTAACTGTAAATGCAGAGCAATGCAAAACGAACTAAACTAAACAAGAACAAAAACAAAAACGAACTTGAAAATCCAGCAAAATGTGCAAAAATAAAATATAAAACAAAAAGTGCAAAAGCTGTGCAAGAAAGAGACCACAACACAGATGCAAATACAGTAAAGCTCCGAGGTCAGAGGGAGAGAGATGGAAACAAAGTGCAGCCTCTGCTTGTTGTTGTATGTTCTTTTTTACCGTTGGTTTTTTTTTAATTTTTAATGAGTTTGCAAAATGGTTTGCGGTGCTCTTGGATTTTGTTTTTAGATTCGTTTTTTAAGATTATTTTTCGGTGACGAGTGTGTTTTTTTGGGGTTATGTAAGAGATTTCTTCTAAACAATAAAATCTTTTTAAATATTATTTATTTTACGGAAAAGTATAATATTTGGAATATTAATCCTTAAAAAATTTGGATAAACTATTTGTCTCAAAAAAGAATGTTTTGTCGTTAAGAGGTTTATAAGGAAAGACTTAGTTTTATCTACTTATGATCAATAAAGTTATCTATAAATGATTTTTACATTTTCTCAAACCTTCTTCGTACCACCCACCCATCTTACTCAACCTAAATCCACGGTTAGTACGCCTCCTGACTGCCCTACTAAACCAATAAAACGCTTCGCATTTCTCGCACCTCGCCAAGAAATTAACCTTAAAATTAAAGATTTACACCTTAGGAAGGAGCTGAAAATTGGGCTGATGCCAGATTGCAGCAGAGATTTTGCTAAATATTTCCAAGGAAATATATCAATGCTATGGGAAAATCGCTTACCAGAGGGGAAGCAGAAAAGAGAGCGGCTTGCATAATCTGCGGTAAGCCAGAAGCGATTACAAGGCATTGAACAAGAAATCTGTATTCGGCGTATCCATGAGATACATTTATGCCCGCTGGACAAGTATGCATATGTGTAACTAGGACGAAAGCAACGATGGACAATGGCCGGCTATGAGGACCTCTCAAAGGGAAACTCAACAGCTGCCCGAGGATTCGGACGTCCTAGTGTCCAGCGCTCCTTTTGTGGGAAACGCCTGCGTGTGTGTGTGTGTGTGGGTGAGTACGTATCCAGGGGCAGTGGAATATCCGATTTGCGGAGTGAAACAATTGCGGTGTTTGACCAATTTTACAATTGATGTAATCCCCTAAATCGCCTATATTAGCCTATGAGCGGCTTCAGCATCCTTGCCTCCATTACGATTGTCAAATTGAAATGTTTTCAGTTCATTCAAGAGTAAACATCGGCACAAGCGAAACGCTGATGCACAGAGAGAAAAAGGTGTTTAAGAAGGGGAATTAATATTTTGTAGTATGGTATTGTACTAACTATATAATGTTTAAGTCAATAGGTCTAGAATTTATGGGAATATAAAGATGATGTTGTTTAATTTTGTATTAAACTTCAAAATTTATAGAACTTTTTGAGTCTAAAAATGTATTTTTTACACTTTAAAGAGCTTAAGTAAAGAATTTTCTTTGATTTTGTAAAAAATTCCCACTTAAAACCTTTTTTTTGCACAGTGCACCGACTTAATGTTATGTGGGTTACGGTTCCGTAGGTTTATAATAATATTTTGCTAACCTTCTTTTGCGCCCAAGCAAAAGTTCAAAAGGATCTCGGCCGCTGCTTTGTCTTGCGCGTTCTGCGATTTTCGCCGATTACCGATTACCGACACAGATTAAGGGATGTTCCCAAACAATTGGCAGGTTCTCTAGCATTCTCTATATATATATATATACTCCTCTATATAGGGATTCTCCATTGGGAACCTCTAGATTCTTTGCTTCCCTCATAGGCGCGCAATTAGACGAGTTTTGGCCTTTGTCCGCTGCCGGCCATAGACGGATTTCCTTTGGCCATTCGTCCTTTGATCCTTTCTATCCCTAAATCTGTGCACTCGACCAAAAATATACACATATATATATAGTCTGCTTCTGGTTCTGGTGATTTGCTTTTGTGTCGCGCGTATTTGGCGCGTTTAAATAGATTAACCGCCTGGCAATTTGCTGGGTTCCTATCTGGTATGTAGGATCTTCTACCTACACGGTAGAACATCAGTTCCTGTCCTTCTCTCCTTTTGGCCTTTGCGTCCCGCTCTCTTTTTTTACAATTAGCTGCGGCCGCCTCCTTTGTTTGCCATCTTAATCTTGAGTAAATTAGTTCATTAAGAGGTTAATTCCCCATAACACCCACAAATTAGACCAGCAATGGGTAATGGGAAATGCATGCGAGGAGTGTCCTGTCTGCTTTTCTCTGTGTTTTTTTTTCTCAGGTGAGTTGGTTGATGGCTGGAGTGGGGAATTGTTTGATTGGTTTGGAAAGATATGTGCTTAAGTGTCTGTTCTCTCATTATGATTGATAATTAATCAATAAATTAAAGAAAATTATTATAAGGAAGGTTGAGACTCTGCCATTGACAGTTCTTTTCCCATATTCCCCATATTATAAAATTTCTTAAACAAAACCATAAAAACCATATTGACCCCTTAATCACATCACAAAAACGTACAAACTCCCACATGCTTTTGACATTTTCCCAGCTTTAAACTAAATTTAAACAAAACTCCTTTTAGGGATAATTTTTTAATTGACACTAATAGGCTTAAG